CCAAATGGCAAAACACCCCTAAAAAAATAATGGTATCGTCCGTTATAACAGAAAGAGGACTATACCATTATTTTGTAGGGGGGATTTAGACGTTATTTTTTTTGCTTAATGTTTCCGATTCTAGGGGGGTGTAAAAGTGGCGAAACCATGTTAAGAACTGCAAAAAAGTGTATATAGGCGCTTTTTTGAGGCGTTTTCGTTAGTTTTTATCCAAATGGCAAAACACCCCTAAAAAAATAATGGTATCGTCCGTTATAACAGAAAGAGGACTATACCATTATTTTGTAGGGGGGATTTAGACGTTATTTTTTTTGCTTAATGTTTCCGATTCTAGGGGGTGTAAAAGTGGCGAAACCATGTTAAGAACTGCAAAAAAGTGTATATAGGCGCTTTTTTGAGGCGTTTTCGTTAGTTTTTATCCAAATGGCAAAACACCCCTAAAAAAATAATGGTATCGTCCGTTATAACAGAAAGAGGACTATACCATTATTTTGTAGGGGGGATTTAGACGTTATTTTTTTTGCTTAATGTTTCCGATTCTAGGGGGGTGTAAAAGTGGCGAAACCATGTTAAGAACTGCAAAAAAGTGTATATAGGCGCTTTTTTGAGGCGTTTTCGTTAGTTTTTATCCAAATGGCAAAACACCCCTAAAAAAATAATGGTATCGTCCGTTATAACAGAAAGAGGACTATACCATTATTTTGTAGGGGGGATTTAGACGTTATTTTTTTTGCTTAATGTTTCCGATTCTAGGGGGGTGTAAAAGTGGCGAAACCATGTTAAGAACTGCAAAAAAGTGTATATAGGCGCTTTTTTGAGGCGTTTTCGTTAGTTTTTATCCAAATGGCAAAACACCCCTAAAAAAATAATGGTATCGTCCGTTATAACAGAAAGAGGACTATACCATTATTTTGTAGGGGGGATTTAGACGTTATTTTTTTTGCTTAATGTTTCCGATTCTAGGGGGGTGTAAAAGTGGCGAAACCATGTTAAGAACTGCAAAAAAGTGTATATAGGCGCTTTTTTGAGGCGTTTTCGTTAGTTTTTATCCAAATGGCAAAACACCCCTAAAAAAATAATGGTATCGTCCGTTATAACAGAAAGAGGACTATACCATTATTTTGTAGGGGGGATTTAGACGTTATTTTTTTTGCTTAATGTTTCCGATTCTAGGGGGGTGTAAAAGTGGCGAAACCATGTTAAGAACTGCAAAAAAGTGTATATAGGCGCTTTTTTGAGGCGTTTTCGTTAGTTTTTATCCAAATGGCAAAACACCCCTAAAAAAATAATGGTATCGTCCGTTATAACAGAAAGAGGACTATACCATTATTTTGTAGGGGGGATTTAGACGTTATTTTTTTTGCTTAATGTTTCCGATTCTAGGGGGGTGTAAAAGTGGCGAAACCATGTTAAGAACTGCAAAAAAGTGTATATAGGCGCTTTTTTGAGGCGTTTTCGTTAGTTTTTATCCAAATGGCAAAACACCCCTAAAAAAATAATGGTATCGTCCGTTATAACAGAAAGAGGACTATACCATTATTTTGTAGGGGGGATTTAGACGTTATTTTTTTTGCTTAATGTTTCCGATTCTAGGGGGGTGTAAAAGTGGCGAAACCATGTTAAGAACTGCAAAAAAGTGTATATAGGCGCTTTTTTGAGGCGTTTTCGTTAGTTTTATCCAAATGGCAAAACACCCCTAAAAAAATAATGGTATCGTCCGTTATAACAGAAAGAGGACTATACCATTATTTTGTAGGGGGGATTTAGACGTTATTTTTTTTGCTTAATGTTTCCGATTCTAGGGGGTGTAAAAGTGGCGAAACCATGTTAAGAACTGCAAAAAAGTGTATATAGGCGCTTTTTTGAGGCGTTTTCGTTAGTTTTTATCCAAATGGCAAAACACCCCTAAAAAAATAATGGTATCGTCCGTTATAACAGAAAGAGGACTATACCATTATTTTGTAGGGGGGATTTAGACGTTATTTTTTTTGCTTAATGTTTCCGATTCTAGGGGGGTGTAAAAGTGGCGAAACCATGTTAAGAACTGCAAAAAAGTGTATATAGGCGCTTTTTTGAGGCGTTTTCGTTAGTTTTTATCCAAATGGCAAAACACCCCTAAAAAAAATAATGGTATCGTCCGTTATAACAGAAAGAGGACTATACCATTATTTTGTAGGGGGGATTTAGACGTTATTTTTTTTGCTTAATGTTTCCGATTCTAGGGGGGTGTAAAAGTGGCGAAACCATGTTAAGAACTGCAAAAAAGTGTATATAGGCGCTTTTTTGAGGCGTTTTCGTTAGTTTTTATCAAATGGCAAAAACCCCTAAAAAAATAATGGTATCGTCCGTTATAACAGAAAGAGGACTATACCATATTTTGTAGGGGGGATTTAGACGTTATTTTTTTTGCTTAATGTTTCCGATTCTAGGGGGGTGTAAAAGTGGCGAAACCATGTTAAGAACTGCAAAAAAGTGTATATAGGCGCTTTTTTGAGGCGTTTTCGTTAGTTTTTATCCAAATGGCAAAACACCCCTAAAAAAATAATGGTATCGTCCGTTATAACAGAAAGAGGACTATACCATTATTTTGTAGGGGGGATTTAGACGTTTATTTTTTTGCTTAATGTTTCCGATTCTAGGGGGTGTAAAAGTGGCGAAACCATGTTAAGAACTGCAAAAAGTGTATATAGGCGCTTTTTTGAGGCGTTTTCGTTAGTTTTTATCCAAATGGCAAAACACCCTAAAAAAATAATGGTATCGTCCGTTATAACAGAAAGAGGACTATACCATTATTTTGTAGGGGGGATTTAGACGTTATTTTTTTGCTTAATGTTTCCGATTCTAGGGGGGGTGAAAA